AGTTTGACCACAGCCAAGTTTAAGCCTCTTACATTTTCTATAAATGGCTTCACCTTGCCCTATACTACGAATACGTTCATTCTCGTGATTTTGTATGATTTTTGCTTATCACCTTAACAATTTGCTATGTAATCGTATACATACGGAAGATTGAAAGCCGTGTGCTAATCGCGACGGATGTGCGCTTTGGAGAATTTCCAATTGTACGCAAAATCTTGTTTTGCATGAGCTGCAGTTTAAAAAAAAAAAAGGTGACTACCGCCAATTCCCAGGAGGGGCAAGCAAAAGTCATTAATGAATTGATCAGATAAGTGCCTTATGGAGGGTTAGTTTAACGATGACGCATAAGCGTTTATTTTTGAATAGGGACTAGATTCTAATAAATGTTCTGAAGGCCTTGGCTTCAGTCATTTCTATGTGCAGTCTCCGTGTGATCCTCTTATCGAAGATGACACCAAGGTATTTTACCTGAGAACTGGATCGCCAACCAACTACTTCTTTATAACCTCTTTGAACGGACCGAATAGAAGACACATTTTCCAACAAGGCGTGTTCACCGATCCCCGTTCTACTATTGTTGTTTGCGTGTATGTTGCGGGTGTTACTTAGAAACGGCCGCTATTTACAGAGTCATTGCTTAGCAACAGGTCTATGCGCCACATTATGTTACTGTGTTCAGTTCGTTCATTACCAAAATTTTGTATTTTGTATTGTATTATTATATAAATGAATGTTAAAAAAAACTGGTGGATTGAGAACTGGTTTCAGCTGGCACATGATAGGGCCCAGTGAAGGGCTGTTGGGAGAAGGGTCACGATTTGTGTGTTTCAAACAAGACAGGGGATTCTTGACTAGATGGTTACGGATTCCGTCCTATTTACCCAATTTTAATATTATGATCATACATTTGTTACACTTTTAAATGTTACAATGCGATAATTGTAAAATGCATTTCCTCCTTGGATATAGTCCCGTTTTATAGCTATACTGTGTAATAACTTTCGAACAAGTGCGTGCCCTCGGGGCAAAGTTCGTTCCGCAAAGGATGAAAAAGAGTTTCTATTAAATTGGTTAGCATTTCCAAGAGCAGCCAGACGGCTATATGAATTCTACTTAAATGCATAGATGGTAGCGTTTATACGTATAAGCACGTAGTATTTCCGGTAGTACAAATTGTACAGCGTATCACTGTCCAAGACAGCAGCTGAAGGAAGTGCATGGATACGTTCCGACCACTGGGACCTGGAACGCAGCAAACAAAAAAATGCCAGAATTTGACGTAGTGGAAGTGTAAAATTAAACTCCATGCCATGAAAAGGACAGGGGAAACGAAGTAAATCTTAAAAAATAAAGTTATTTCCGTGTTTAATTAATTATTTAATTAAGCAGCATATCATGAAGATGTACTTGGAGTGGAGGTATACCTCCACCATTCTTGACTTCGACATTAGATGGAGATCAATGGTCAGCTTACCGCTCCGGTAGCTTTACCCCTGGGGAAACAGTCACCACTACACATTGTATAGCAGGCTAAGCGGGAACTAGAGCCGGTCTAAACGCTGTGGGGTAGAGATAAATCTCTTGCCCCTGCGGGGAATCAAATCCAAGCTGTCAAGCCCGTAGCCCGTCCCTATACAGACTGAGCTATTCCGAATGTTTGAAGTAAGTCAGAACGTTTCTCATAACTTCGACACTAGATGCAGGTGAGTGGGCAGCGTCACGCTTCGGCCTGTTTAGTCTCCGGGAAATGAGAGGGGGTATCTGCATGGGTTCCACAACAGTTTTTAAAACTATTATAAAGAGTAAAGTGTCTCTGCAACAGGCCGTGGGGGCCATAGGGTTGTGAGATGTTGAGGCTCCCACATTTTCTAGACAATCGGCTCACATATGGCAGTGAGGTTGTCAGCCTTACGCGCTGGCCGTCCTTTACCCCCAGAAATATTCCTAGTACTCATTTCTCTTAGAGACTGAGTCGACCCCAGGGCCATAGTGTGGCTGGAAGGATTAGGTGAATTGAAAAAATCCACTTCATTGGGATTCGATCCCGCCATCTTCCGGCTTGTAGAAAACAAAGAATAAATGTCTTCTGTCTGAATCGATATCCCATCACCCAGCCGGCAGTCACCCACTTTACTGACAGCTGAATGTCTGCAGTCTTTGAGTACGTGTAAATGCACATCTGATTACTCTGCATGTATTCACTTGAGTGACTTGCCGTACATGCATACGTTAGTTCAGCGTACATATGAATCTATAATGCAGACAATTATGGAAGTATGACATAATTCAGTGTCCAGTGCGCAATGAAATCTTCATTTTGTATCTGCGTTATTACTAATGAGTCCACAATTCGTAGCACAACGATCAATTGTGTTTTTTAAGATGCACTACCATACCACACTTGGAAAATCATAGACTTATTCCCTTTCTAGACCTCAATCAACACATTAACATCATAAATTCCTGAACACGATGTAAATTGTCATCTCTGTATATCTAGTGTACTTCCTTGAATTGATTACGTGTTGTTGAAACCCCGAGATGCTTCTGTCATACAATGCCATCTTCAGGGGTTGTACCGTATCATCATGTCTTTATAGCTCCGTGACTAATAATAGTGGGGTCTGGATTGGATGACTTTATTTATTAACACCTCGTTTTTTTTTAAGCACAACAGATCACTGTGGTCGCGGTGCAGGGGCCAGGAGGGCCCACCCTTTGTACATTTAACACCTCGTTTTACAATCTTTCTTAATCACAATCAATTATAACACTCTCGCTAATCTACCCACCTCACAAATAATTAGGACACGCTCCATTCTTGTTCTCCGTTGTATTTACTTCTTCTATACCTTGTTCTTCTTGTACTCAAAGTCAAAGTCAAAGCCAAAATCAGAGTTAAAGTTACTTTACAATGGACCCTACGGAAAACACCGTCTTCTGTTATCAAGAATACGTGTTTTTTGGTTCGTTACCTAACAACAGACGTCTTTCTATTGTTAAAAGCGTGATTCCGGGTATGTATTTATCGAGCCGTTGCCTAGAAATGGTCATGCGCGTCACAATATTAACGGGAAACTTCACACTTCATATAAAACAAATTATTTAAAATAAGCGCTTAAAACTAGTATTTATTTATAAACATAGGACTCAGTTAGTGTAATTCAGTTAATGAAATTCTGTCATGTCATATCGTATGCCGCATGTTGCATGCTCGTTCATTGGAAGAAGTGGAGCTCTGTTGTTTCGATGTGGAGCTTCGTAAGTGAAGTGTGGGATATCAACATAATATTAGCTTTAATCTGTGTGACCGAAACCTTCCAAGGTTAAGACAATATGTAATCAACACAGGAAAGTAAGCTAGATACACTTGTATAGTAATTTGCATCTTATTCTAATGGAAACAGAATATCGGAAAAATGAACTCTAACAAGATTGTGGATTCTGTATCAGAAATCTGACAATTCTTCGTATTTTAGGAAGTTGCAGAAGATGTAGATTCTAACACAACGTTCACTTACAGAAGTCTGCATGGAAGAATGTCGGTATTCAGATTAAATGTATAGGACCTATATAACGCAATAAGATAGAACGGAAAAACAAATCATGAGTTTCAAATAACAGCGTAAAATATTTCATTTTGTGAATAAGTATATTATTTCGATATAAACACCGTTTGTATTACCTTGTGATGTGCTCCTCAGCGGGTTTCGGGCAACATCAGTTGTAGCCTAAGACATTAGTCCTCTGAACAGTTAGTTAGTTATTGGAGAGGGTGGGTTATCCCCATGCACTTAGACCTGTCTTGGTCCATTGTGCTTCCCTCTACGATATTTTACCAGTCTCTATATCCTACCGGTACTGGTGCTTACCATCAGTCCCGCCCAGCCAGCGAGATCGGCCTCTACTAGCTGAATGGTATCTATAATGCTTTCCCCATCTACCAGAGGTATTAGAGACTACTGCTGGGCAGGAAACGTCCGTAATTTTGCTCAGTGGCCTGCTTTGGAGACATGAGGTTCTTTTACTTGCCGTAAAGCTACGACACGGGACCCACGGCTTAAAGTCCCTCCCGGAGGACTTGTTCCCTGAATTTTTCCGCCCTTAAAAATTCCACGAGTCACGAGGTGGGAACGTTACCCCTAGACTACGGAGGCCGCTCCTCTGAACAGTTACAGCAACTTCTCTTCTGAGGACACAGGTAACGTAACTGGCACCGCGCCCATAAGATGGAAGTACTATATCCACGAAAAGTTGTTAAACATCTACCAGGCTAAACGGCGTAATCCAGAAGACCACAAATTTATCGGTCCTTCATTAACCATCTACTTATTCGGAAAATATTTATTTGATGATTACAAAACAACGTTAAGGAAATGTACGGAGGCGCCATATTTCGGATATGTATGTTAGAGCGTCCTTCAAGCCGTGGACAACCGTAAGATTCTGTCGTGTCCACATACACCTGATTTGTTAAATTCGGTTTCTGGGCCACGGCCCCAAAATCGCCAGGTTCATTTCCTGCCCTGTGAAATGTTGTTTCCACAGAAAACAATATAGTCCTACTAGTACTGGTTCACACTTCATAATAGCTGAATTACACATTGAAGATAAGCCCAGCAACAAATGGGACTAATTTCGAAATAATAGATACATAATAATAAGAAATCAAGATGCGTACCTTTGTTGTTAAATGACCATTTTTTGATGTACCTTAGCCCATTCGATGAATACTTAGTTCTCAAAGAGCGACATTAATTTGTTAACATTAGGAATTTAACCACGTGATCGTATTATTCTTCTCACTGCTGCTGGTAGTGGTCAATAATAATTATTATTATTATCACAATTTTGAAATTAATTGCAATTGCAATCGTGGGTTTTTGTGAACCCGCAGATGAAACTATTGGGTCATGAAAATCGAGGAATATTTTCATCCGCTTTATATAAATTTATAAACACAGACTCTGCACTAGTTAATAAGTCGGTTGAGTACTCACGCCCCCAACACATTGTAGAGTTCCAGTGTGAAGTGGTAGTAGCAGATCCGTGGAGGCTCATCTTCTCGGCAGGCCCTGGCGCATTCTTCTGGGCTGGACAGAGAGGGGTTTCTCCTCAGCTCAAGAAGGCCTCGTTGTCCGAAGTCGATGGTGCGGAGCCCAGGCTGTTGACCGAAGATATCGCTGCCACCTCCACCCAGAGGGTGGGTCTGCACCAAGCCGTGAGTCGACGTGAAGAAGTTTGTATTGTCAGCGATCTCAGAAGGCTGCTGCTGTAGTCCTGGACTGCTGATATCCTCCTGCCACCAAGCTGACGCTGTGGACTGGTCTCCTCCCAGAATCGGTGATCGCGGACCTGCAAAATTGTAAGAAAACCCACGTGCATTAAATTACCAGAACTCCGCAGGACTGTCTGTCACTACGGAAAGGATCTTTACTATAACTAAACTAGTCAAAACATCCGATCTTAGCCTTGGCTCTTCTTAATATAAATCATAATGAACTGTTTAAATTGCTTATTTCTTATATTACACATAAGTAATATTGTCGTATTTGCCGCATCTAACTATGTGTGGGCCTATGTTAACTATTCCTATTTTACTTACTAGCCTCTTTAATGCATTCCATAAATAATATATGTAAATAGCAGGGCACTTAAACCTCTTAACTGACACGCGAAATTTAGACATTAAATTATTCTTAAAATTAGATTCAGTCTACAAATGTGTAAGAAATGCATACGGTGCATGACAACTCCGACACGTCCGCGCTGTCATTGCCTTTCGTTTTCATTTTTTTATGATGCGAACATATGAATAAATTCACTCCAGAATTCTCATATTAGGAGATGACATGGCATGGATTTTGTTTAATTGTCCCTCAGACTCCTGAGACACAAGGTGGGAGGGGTTGGTATAAGTTCTGTATCAATATATTTTTCACTCAGATAAATATTTAGCTACTTATGCTCTCGATATGCTCAGAAATGTATGTAGTCTCCGTGTAAAATATCTGTTACTTTTGTCAGATTTTGAACGAGACTGAAATCGCTAACGAATTACAGTAAAATTTCCGAGGACCAAATTTAACGAAATTCCTTTTAGTGCTTTTTGAATTTTTACACGCCTATCGACGGATGAACGAAGGAATATGAGGGAGAAAAAAAGAAAGAAAATACGGGGTGTGACAATCCACATCTCATATACAATTTACCTCAAGGAGGATGGGGTGGGTATGGTATGTAGCACGAATGGGGTAGAAGAGGAATGTATATAGGATATTGTTGAGAAAGCTAGAAGAAAAGAAACCACTGGGAAGACCAAGGCGTTGGTGGGTGAACAATATTAAATTGGATCTTAGAGAGATAAGATGGGATTGTATGGATTAGATTGATCTGGCTCAAAATATAGAACAGTGAAAAGCTCTTGTGAACACGGTAATGAACATTCGAGCTTCATAAATGCTAGGAAATTCTTGAGTAGCTGCAGAATTGGCGGCTCCTCAAGAAGGGCTCAGCTCCATGAGTGAGTAAGTAAGTTAGTACACAATTTACCGCGATGTCGTCCCATTCTAAATACTAAATACCAAACAGATCGCTTTTGGCCGCGCCATAGCTCAAGCGGTTAGTCGCTGGCTTCCCACCGCGGCGGTCGGGGTTTGATCTCGGGTCTTGTCAAGTGGGATTTGTGGTGGACAAAGTGGCGCTGGGGCAGGTTTTCTCCGAGTACTTCGGTTTCCCCTGCCAATCTTCATTCCACCAATTGCTCCACAATCACCCTCACCTATCATCTGGGGCTGGTACAATAGTCCAGAAGTGGCCGCAGTACAAGGGACTTTGTCCCACCCCACTAGCAATAAAAGAAAAAGTACAAAATTTACCGCCATGTCGTCCCATTCTAAGTACCAAATACCAAACAGATCGTTTTATGTATTGTAAGGTTATATGGCCTATTAGTAACTAGATCTGAATTATTAATAAGAAGACGGTTTTACATTCAGGCATTGGGTTTGAGACAGGCGGAATTGAGAAATAGAAATGAACATGAGCGGGATACAGTCGGAAGGCGAATCAGTACACTAACTTCCACCTGCATGGGACAGACTCAGGTCTCATTCACGAAAAGCACAATGTATGAAAAAATTTGTTCACCTTCACTGCAGAGCGTTTTTCTGCCTTATGATGGTGATACAATTTGATGGCTAGGCGCAAAATGCAGCAGCAAGTCAGGATTTGATAACTCAACATGGCGCGCACACGAGGTTAGAAAGCAGACAAAATTAAACATGAAGAAAGCAGTCTTCTGGGATTTGGCACTGTGTATATGTGGTGTTAACCGATGTTTCGGATGAACGTATCGCCTCCATCTTCAGGGTAGAAGAAAAAATATAAGAAATCCGCAAGCTAAGAGACCGTGAGAACCGGTAAAAGCAGCCAGTCTGCTTTTACCGTTCTCACGGTCTCTTTGCTTACAGATTTCTTATATATTTTTTCTTCTACCCTGAAGATGGAGGCGATACGTTCATCCGAAACATCGGTTAACACCACATATACACAGTGCCAAATCCCAGAAGACTGCTTTCTTCATAGTCACCGCCGTGAAAGCCTCAAATCATACAAAATTAAACATTTTAACATGCATTTATTTGTTATAAATATTTTCATTAATAGTTTAGACGTAGAAAAAGGAAAATAGGGCAGGCAACGAATTAGATCCAGCAGTCATAAAACGTAATGCAAACCGTAACCAAAAATAAAGAAATCAAGATCCGATATTCTGCTCTTCCGGAAGCTGAACTAAATATCTCTAGGCCTGTCCCGTATCAGGAAGGCCCCTGGGTCTCTTCTTGGCTCGAAGGCCAGTGATGATGACTGAGATTCTTCGTGATTTCCATTAATCTCTCCAGACACTGTTTGCGATAATACCTTGAATAGACCTTGAAAGCTTCCTTGATTGCCAGTTCACACAAAAGCGGGGTGATTCTCCTCCAATGCTGAATAAATTTCCAACAATTCGATGAAGAGTAGTCGCTATTGAACGGCTGTTAGTAGCTCACCTGATGAACAAATTCCCTGTCTCTTACAGCACGTAAAAGTTCATTACTCTTTACACAGAAGCATCCCACTGAACCATAATATGAGCCAAATTAATACAGTTCAGACAGTAATTTGATATTTCTTTAAGATTCATTTGAATATAATCCGTCAATTTATGACAAATCTAAAAATTTTCAAATTATCCTTGAGTAATTGAAGAATAGTCCGGTCACGGTAGCCGAGCGGTCTAAGGCATGTACTGTCTTCGCTCGCTTGGAAACCGGGATCGTGGGTTCGAATCCCACTCAGGGCATGGATGTTTATTTCGTGTGTGTGCGTTTTTCTGTGTTTGTGTACAGGTAGAGGCCTTGCGACGAGCTGATCATCCGCCCAAGGAGTCCTACCGAATGTGTAAGATCTAGAAAAATCGAAATGAACGGAGTTCATGGAGATAGGCCTAGGCCCACTGGGGCTGTAGTGCCAGGGGGAAAAAAATTGAAGAATAGAGCAAAATTCAGGAAACCTACTATTCCAGGAATTTGAAAAGCTCCAGTGACTAAGTCAGTCAATTGGTTTACTTTTTAGCACTATAAATGTTCTATGGCCTCTATTATTATTGACAAGTCCAACGGGTAAGAATGTTGCTTTGTCCCTAAGAACTGAAAGAGAAGAGAGGAAATGCTGTGAGAGAGTTGAGTCAAAGAGAGAGACATGCATGAATTCTCTATACTGCAGATTCATATCGAACGAAGTGAGTGTTAGAAAGACACACAGACACGCCTCTTTTGTACTTCAAAGACAAGGAACATGGAGATATCGGCAGCAGACCCGCACAGAGCTCAGAAAGAAAACTGTTCCAGCTTGGCATAGCGAAGTATCGCAATGCCACGAGTGTACAAGAAACGGAGTCTCACTTATCACATCTTCTTAAAACCTCACGTAAGCAATGACCTACGCGATTTTGGCTCAATTAAGCCAACGCCGTAAGAGGAGAAAAAGAACAAAAAACATGAGTAACATTCTTCAGAAATACACGAAAGCCCTTCAGTACCCTATTAAGGAGTAGGATCTAGAAGGACCAAGACTGCTGATGAATCTGTCGAGAATGTGGTGAAGCTCAACTACTGGGGGAAGAATGGCAATAGATATGTGTAAGGATTTGAGACTTTCACAGCGGTGACTATGAAGGATGCCGTCTTCTGGGATGTGGCGCCGTGTAGATCTTGTGTGAACCGACGTTTCGAAGGAACATATCACCTCCATCTTCATCGTAGAAAAATCCGTGAGCGAGAAACCAGCATTCTTCCGGAACCTTGGTTCACACAAGATCTACACGGCGCCACATCCCAGAAGACGGCATTCTTCAAATGTGTATAATGTTGCATTTAGGAAAACTTAGGGCCAAATTAAATTTAGCGAAATTTATCTCTGTCTATTTGTGTTCTATATAGAGACGTAAGGATTACTGTTTAAAAGAATAATTTTACCTGTAGTTTCATACTCACTCACTGACTCACGGAACTGAGGCGTTCTTGAGAAACCGCCAATTGTGAAGCTACTCAAGAGCTTCCCAGCATTTTATGGAACCCGGAGATTCATTACCGTGTTCACAAGAGCCCTCCATTTGGGTCTACCTTGAGACAGATCAAGCCAATCCATACCATCGCAAACTATCGCTCTAAGATCCATTTTAGTATTGTACACCTACCTACGCTTTGGTCTTCACAGTGATCTCTTTACTTCCGGCTTCCCGACCAATATCATATATGCATTCATCTTCTCCCCTTTCGTGCTACACACCCTGCCCATTTAATCCTCCTTGGCTTGAACATTCTAATTATACTTGGAGAAGAGTACACGTTATGAAGCACACGAGAACTTGAGATTGAGGATGTCTATGATTGAGAAGGAGATGGGACGGAAATATACATCGCACAGTGAGATGAGAAATAAACGGAAGAAAAATTGATTTGACAATCTAAAGGGAAGAGAGAATTTGGCATAGTTCATACGTTGTCATAGATGGGGAGACAATAAATATTCTTCCGTTACTAACCACTTTGGCCAACCCTGCACTAGATAATATCACAAACCGTACTAGGCAGTGGCGCCCGGTATTGCTGCAGCGATTTGCCTGTCGTATCGTCCTCTGAAGTTTCTGTTCAGTTACTTTCTCTCGATATATCTCGCTCTGTAAACGTTTGACAGCAGAGCAAGTCAGCTTCTAAACCGCAATATGGAGGTCCCGGTTTGAAATACCGGCCCAGAGGCCAACTATCCTGGCTGAGGCTTTTGTGGTGTTACTCAGTCACCTACTCCAG